TCACAGATGATGAAAGCGCCTCCTCATCCTCGTCGTGCACTACCTCTCGCAGCAGCTGGAGCCAAGGTAGAGCGCCATGGCAATCGCGACGCCAATAAACACAACTGAGGACACTGAAAGGTCCTCCTATAGCCAGCGAAACAAATGCTGCAAGGGCGGTGACCTTAGTCATTGTCCCTTCAAATCCCATGAGAGTGTTCGCCTGACACAGGAGAGAAAGACATCGATCCTCATGCTACAGGCAACATATTATCACAATCAAAACATGTGTAGCAGTCCCCGTGTCTACCATAGGCGATAAATTGTCAGTCTTTGCACTCGTGTTGCTGTAAAGTTTTGGCTCAGGCAGGAGCGGCAAAGCAATTAGATGCTGTCAGTGCGACTTGTAACTCACCCTAGCACTTCTGCAAAACCAGAAAAGGGCACGACCTACCACCTTACTCTCACCACGCTTGCAGGGAATGACATTCTTGTGCCCGCCAATCTATGGGAGCATGATATGTTCGAAGCACTGGAAGATCTTATAGTCGAATACTTGCCGACGGTTAGCCAAATTGACACTTTCGGCTGCGAGGTAGAACTACTGCACCCAGACACCCAAGAATCCCTGAAAGACCCTATACAGGACACTCTTCGAAACAATACGCATTTCCACCTAGTGGTGCGGCAATGTTTTGAAGTGTTCGAACACAAATAGCAAATCCAGAAAGAAGATTACATGGACTACCCAAAAGCTATACGGGCCCCGGCGAATACCTCAGGTGCAATCCCGAACAATGCCTTTTCGTCTGTTCCGCGACTGAGACATGTCTGGGCGGAACCCAATTTGCGCACTGTCGGGTACGAGGCATGGCAGAACTGTTACCAATTGCAGATTGGCAAACTCCCCATGACGGTGGAGTCTATTCAGCAATCTGTATTTGAGGGATGTTATGCGCTTGTCACAGTTGTTGCACCAGGATGCGTAGACTTTGGTGTCCGTGCCTTCGCTGAATGTTGCTCGCTCCAACACATTGGTGTGTGGGATGATGGCAATAACACATTTGCTCCCGGAGCGACACTTGCCCCTGCACGTCTTTGATAGCTGCCTCCGCCTCTCCCAAATCACCTTCACACAAAGTAAGTCAAGATCAAAGCTTCCTCCATTACCACCACCATATCGAGGAGTGCCACAAGGTTGTTTTAGCTCGTTGGGGCTTACCACCAAGGGCAGATAATTTTCTTGGGTCTTCGGCGTGTGAAAACTGCAGACACCTTTCCCAGGTCGATCTTTCTGCCACAGGGATCAAGGTCATTAATGAACATGCCTTCTCGCAGTGTAAGGAGCTAACGCACATTTGGCTCCCGAGCACGTTGCGGGAAATCCTATTGTGAAATCCTCCAAGAGGTGGAGCTCCCACCTGCGCTTCGGAAAATCGCCCATATAAGGCTTTTACCAACTGTAGTCAGCTCTTGCGCTTCGTACTACAGCAAGGTAAAAGAACCACTTGGAGGGGACCCTACGCAGAGAGCAATACGTTTGACTTATGTTCTCGGTTTCAAATGCCCAAGTGGATCAACCTTCTCCCTCCTGATGGAGGAACCCCAGATTTAATGGCATGCGAGGTCAATTGGCCCGAGCGCAAAAGGCAGATCTTACCGGCGCACACACAGGCCGTATTGGAAGGCATGCACAGGGCGGTGACCTCAGTCACTGTCCCTCTTGTCCCGCGAAATATGCCTGCCTAATAGTGCCTACTTGGGAGACATCCTGCTGGGGTGATAGATCTTAGTAACTTTCACACCCAACCCTGATTGTACTTTTTTGATTGTATGGTTGTTTCATATGAGCATTTTCCCTGTTGCTGATCACCAAACGACCAATAAACAAGGACTTCTGCAACGAGGCATCGGCTCAAGCACGAAAGGTCACGTACTGCGACAATCCTCGCTTCACTTCCCTCCCTCCTGTCCTGTGGAGGGAGGCTGCAAAGCCTGTACATGCATTGCACCTTCGCGGTCCCTTGCTGACAGCCAACCATAAATGGTGGACAGTGCAACATACCACTCATGAAAGGTCACACTTTCGTTTGGCACGCTAGGGCTTTCTGTATTGCCGTGGTTTTCCATTGGCCGCTTTCTAGAGCAACTTCACGCCTGACCGCTGCTTTCAAACGCAGCTGAAAACAGCTTGCCTGTCTATATTGCCGCTGCCTCCCCAAGTGAACTACTTGCGCAAACATAGAATACATGGCCTGGGTATACCGGCCACTCAACCAAGTGCACAAGTGCACTAGCTGGCACATAGCCGATACCTGCAACAAGCCGGCACTGCATTCGCACTTTCGCACTTTCGCAACTGCTCACTCTGAGGCGTTTTGCAATAATTCAATGCCCCACATAGGTTTCACCTAGGTTTCAATTTTGTTTCACCCCTGCATGACCTACCTGAGTCTCCCTACCGGCCTTGCGGTTTTGTTCATTGGTTTTGGGGCGGTTTGTTTGGTTTTGCTGTTGTTTGGTTTGCGTGTTGTTGCACCTTCATGGCCGGAGACTCATTCACAAGTAGCACAAGCTGACCTGTGCATTCTCTGCACACATGGCGGCTCCATCCGTGCAAAAAAATAGCGCAACCGTATCTGGATTCGCTGCTGTTTACAGTGACTCATGTCTCTCGAAGTTCTCGATGTGCATTTCGACTGTGTAGGCTCGCGAAACCTGATTGGTGGCGGAGTGCTTGTCGCGACTGCGTTCTCGTTGTATCTTTGGACATGTGGTGATCTTCAAGCACTTTGATTTCAAGACAAGAAGCGTGACTTTGGACATGTGGCGTCAACAGATTTCCACCAACTCTGGAACAATGTGGCCTCATTCAGGGGCTCTTACAGTGATGGTCAAGCGTCGAAGGAGAAAGAAGTCATCGAGCAGCTTTAGGAGCCGCTATCAGCAATCTGAATCCATGCGTGCACCCTGCCGTCTGGAAGGAGGCTCCAATTCCAGCGGATGCGAATCCGAGTGGCGGTTCTCAGGAATCGAGAGATGTGGTCAAGCCAATCTGGCCAAGCTTTCGCCTCAAAAGGAAAGTCATCCTCAGGTCTGTGGGGGACACTGTACACATCCAGGCAGTGCCCCAAGCAGTGCCCGCCCAAGGCCGGTTCATCAGGACTGAAGGAGCCAGAATGTCCACCACCGGGATTTGAAGAACGGCCAAAGACCAAGGGACAGGAAGAAGACGAGAGAACATTGGAACTTAAGGCTCTGTTTCACTGGACTGTTTCTCGTTGACTTCCTTTTTGGTTCGATGTCACCACGCATCCAGAAAGGGAAAAAAACAATCGCCAGAACATCAAGCGTTTGATCATCGTTTCACATTTTGTTTGACCCACCCTAAAAGATGAACCCAGCACGGGTCTGGTTGGGCAATTTGCCTTTTAGTGCGTTGCAAGACCGAAGACCGTTTTCCCAATTGCAACACTGACGGGAATGAATGGATTATTTTTTTGAATGGATTCTTCTTGGGTCATTGGTGTCGGTGTGCTCATTATGATGGATGAACAGCATCAAGTTCAATTGTTTTTTTTTTGAGATGTTGCTCTTCAGATTGATCATCGCAGTTTGCATTGTGCGCATTCATGACACGAACAGGCGCAACACGAGCAAGTCTTCAGGTGAGGGAACACTGATTTGTTCGTTGAGTTTTGATGTGAAGACAGAGGCAAACAAGTGTTGAAATTGCTCAACACACAATGCTTCAATGACCACCAAGTTTCCTGCAAATGGTGTTGAAAATTCAATGTGCAAATGAAGTGGTTTGTGCTAACATGTTGTATCACAGCAAAAGAAAGTTGGAGGCAGTCACTATGGAATAACTGAGGGAAGCAGAATTGCTGATGTTCAATTTTGCAAAGTTCACCAGAAAAAATGCAAATTTTCATCAGTTGAATTCTGTCCGTGGCACAGACATTGATACGATCTTGTTTTTTCACCGTCGCATCATTGTGGCTGACAGAATTCATTGGATGTTCGCTTGCTTTGCAAGAAATGGGACAGCTGTTTGCACGAAAACACATACTGCATGTGAGCAAAAATGTTGAACATCATCCCGATACATATAGTCCTTTGCAAAGTTCCTCTTCACAACTTTTTAGGGGAAAACAAACCACAGAACAAAAACAATCCTTCTTGGAGTGAGGAGATCACACCGAGTTGTGAATCTTTTCTGGACACAGCTCAGCAACGATTCGTGCGACAGCTCAGCAAGAACTGGTTCAGAGTTTCCCGTTCAATGCTGTCACACAACAGGTCTGACAGGCTCGCCCGGATCGGGCTGTTGATGCCGAGAACCTCGGGGCCTCCAAGGGTCGGAGACACGATCGAGCACAGAACAATCGGTCGGAACGATCTTTTTGGGTGATGTTCAAAAAATTGGGTAGACTCACATCGTCTTGAGGGAATGATTTTGGGTGAACATGTTGATTCATTATGTTTTGAAGAAAGTTGTTTCTCTTCGCAAAAGACAATCCGGTTCTGGATCGAATGGAACGTGACTCGTCGCACGAAGGGAACATTCGGTGTGTGATTGGATCTGTCAGCGACAGTTGCTCCACAGTGTACGAAGGACGGATCATTGTTCTTGGATTATGATCCCAGAGGAACACTGACTGCATCGATACCAGGCGAGTGCTGACCAACTCACTAAACCCACTTTCAATCGAGTGTCGCTGTGGACTTCAATTTGGGTCATAGTCGGGGAGACGGATCCTTTTTGCATTGATCAGAGCTGCGTCGAGAAGAGCAGAAAAGTATTCCCCAACTCAAAACCAGCGCCTGTTGTGGGGGCTCGTTGGGGGCCTCTGTGTTTCAGGCAGCAAACATCTCATCCGTTTTGGGTGCCTTGCGGTGCTGAACAGCTGTTGTTCACGGATTTCAGGGATTTCCGCTGTTTCTTCTGGGTCAGGGAGTCTCTGCTGCCGACTGTGAAGCACCCAGACCTCCCAGACCTTGGAGGAATCTCTCGCTAGGTCTCTGCCTGGCTCCGGCTGCAGCCCGAGTGTAGAACTGGTCATGTTTCAACTTTTGGACACGGTGTCACGACGGTGTTTTGGACATGCTGCCATAACATCCAAAAGACCTGGTGTACACAACATCCAGTGTAAGCAAGTAGACTTTTGGGGGCGGTGGATGTCATCTAGCAGGGCCTGCAGCCAGCCCTTGCTCCCTGGTTGATTTCCTGACCAAAGCTGGTTAGCTCCGGTTTCGCAGACATTTCAGGTTGCAAGGCGCATCAAAGTGAATGACATGAGACTTGACTTCCAAATGTTCTGGTTTAATCTGGGACTTGACTTCCCGCTTTTTCAAGAGACCACCTCTGGCTGATATCTGATGGGCAAAAAAACAAGCTGGGGGGCAAACTCTGTGCCGCCAGCAGGTCTTCAAGACCAAAAGCATCGATCTTATTTTTTATGAGGGATGCTGTCTGTTCATGGACTCTTGTCCAAATGCAGAAGGACGTTTTCTGGCATTTTCTCGGTAGTGGGCAGTTGCTGCCAAATTTTCCAGGCGTACCTCCTAGCAAGCGGTCCGGACCAATTGTTCAAGAATTGATCCTGAGGCGGCCGGACCCCATCGGCGGTCACTCCCACGAGTGGGGGCACCTGGTGCGTATCGCTCATCGCTTGTGCCGCGCGGAGTGGAGATCGGAGTGGAGAGTAGAGGCACTCTTGACAGCTAATCCGATCCGCCCAACCTGGGGATTCCTTGGGGGCTGTCTTGGTCATGGAACCGGCGCTTGTGGTCTGAATGGTACGACTTCTGCCTCAACGTTTTTTTTTTGCGGTGTTTTGGGGGGTTTTCGTGCGGTTTTTCTTCCAACAACTGGCACTACTGGGGGCCCGCGGTGTTTTTCCATGGTGTTCCACGGCCGTTGACAGCTGTCGTTTTCCTGTTCCTTCTAGCTAGGCGTCACGAGGACTGGCCCAGCGAACGACGCGTAGACGAGTTTCACACCATCGTCAGGGAGAGAGGTGCACTGACATCTTTGCCAGAGAGGCGTCTTGTCTTAAGTCTGGTCTGTTCTCCAACAAAGGCCCCGGTCTTTGGGGGAGCCGTGGAATTGGCGCCACGTCGAAACCGTCAATCCTCTCCATTTCCGGTTCCGGCTCCAGTGCACTTGACCCATATGGTCACGGTCTGTCGAAAGAGTTTTCTTTTTCCTGGATGACATGCTGCGCAACATGTCTGCCCTTTGGCTGCTTCTATGGGATAAAGAGGCCCAACACCAATGAGGCAGTTTTTTCAGATCCGTCTGTTCGTCTCGTCTTGGTGGTTGTGTGCCACGTGTTGTTTGCCCAGTGAGACTGGGACGGCCCGGCGCACGGAGCGTCCGCGAGGCTCCAGATCGAACTTTGCATGGGAGGATGAGAAGCAGAGCGGGACAGCCGCAGGGAGCTGAGGGGCGTGGAAGAGCGATGAAGGAGAGTCTCTTTCGGAAGATCCACCTTTTGTAAATGAGGCACCATTGTGCTGCTGTAGGGGTGATGCATTGGGGCTGCTGGCGATACTGCTGACGAGACATCGTGGGATAAAACAGCTGCTTTTTAGAAGAGCTTGTGGCTTGTGGTAGCTCCACAAATTATGTGGCTCAAGGAAGACAATTTTCAGGCAACTTTGGATCAACTTTGGATCACCCGCTAGACATTGTACCAGTATGCTGGAGGTTGGAATCGTTTTTGACCAGGAGGGCTGAGGGTGTATTTTAGTTTCAACCCGGAAAGGGTTTGAGTTCAATGTTTCCTAAAGTTGTGTAACTGAATGCTGTATAAGAATCTTTAGACACATCAAGTTCTTGCTTCGTCCACGTCTTGCTTTGGCCGGACACTCCACCGTTTTTAGTTTTCTTTCCGCTGTGGGTCTCACGCATCAGTGAATCTCTGTTGGTATCTCAAGATGGCACTCGCACCCCAAGTAAGATGTCTTGAACAGATGTGGGTCCATATACACCACCAAACTTGGACATTTATGCCATCCACTCTCAATCCACTGCACCTTCGGCTCACGAGGGGTTCGCTTCAGCCGAGGTGGCGATTCGTTCTTCCGTCTGTTGGGCTTCCAGAAGGGTGGTTAGGGGTGCCCAACCATCCACTTGCTTGGTCCACGTGCGGGTCCTGACTGGCCAAAGAGAAGCCATCGAGCAGCGCTTCGTCAAAGAGCCGGGATGGAATAGGCTGAGCGTGAAGTCAGTGAGTCGCACACGTGCCGCAAGTACTGACAGGCACGAGTCCCTACAGTGCACTTGGCCTCTAAGCCTTCTTTGACCGTACATTTCTTGCATCAGCGAATCGCGGTCACCAGGCCTATGGAACTGCCAGAGCACGCGAATCATCTTTAGTGAGCAAAGTGGCTCTTGGAGCCGCTGTTGTTGTGGAAGCGTTGTTGGTCCTCGCCTGGCTCTTGTGGTAAGTCCTTGAAGCGTCGGGCGGTGTAAAGCGACTGTTCTACTGTCGGCGACACGCGAACACAGCTGAAGCTGGAGCATCTTCCTTGGGCTCGCGCTCTCGAAGCAGGACCTTGTTCCAAGTGGAGGACGACGCCGAGCAGCCGCTTCTGCCACATAGCCTGCCCGAAGGCGCGGTGGGAGGATGGGACCAGAAGAGACGGCTGAGGAGCTTGGATGAGAAAGGAGGAACATCTGAGTCGCAGGCGTGTGTTTGGCCAGGGAATGTTGCACCCCCCTGTGAGACTTTTTGGTGGACCGGGTATGGTGAGAGGGCTCTATGATGCATATTTGTGGCTCCCTTTTCTATCCACCTTGGGGGTCAACACCTCTTCAAAGCTCAGGTCAAAGTGGTAGGAATCACCGGTCTGTTTACCAGACCAATGCCCGTTGCCTTCGGAGCGAACATCTCCTCTCGCGCGAGACGCGCGCACGAGTCGCCCGAGACGCAATGCACAGATTGGAACGACGAGAGCAAGGTCACTGTGCACCGAGGCCCCTTGGGCTTTGTTGAGGTGCGCGGACAGGGATAACTCTGGGGATACTGACAGAGGGAGGGTTGAAGGGATGAAATGACCTTCAAACTAAAGATGGTTTTTGTCTATTTTGCATCAAGTTGGGACTACATGTTGTGAAATGACTACAGGAGTGTTTCTGGACAAACATGTCGAACTCAGGGAGATCTTGGAAATGGTTCCATTTTGGGAAAGACCAGGTGGAGGCAAAATGGGAAGCTGGGAAACATTCTGGCTTAACAGGCGGAAACTCCAGACAGGTAGGAACTTGTGGAGCAAAGACTAAAGGTAAGAAGGCCCTGATGAGAAGTCTACATGTCACAAAATTCTTTTGATTGTAAGGCTTGCGGATATTCCTCCAAACTTCAGCAAATTTGGGGGTGCTGGTCCATTTGATGGTCTATAAATGGATGGTTGAAGTGTTTCTTGTGGCTGGAAGGGCAAGCCTGTGAAGGTCAAGCCCGTGAGGATGCGAATCCATGCAACAGAGACCAGTTAACGCTTGATGTTTGTTGATGTGATGTTGATTTGTTTGTGCCGCCAACTGACTCATTGTGCGACAGCTGCTCAAGGCGTTGCTTGGACTGACACTTATCACTTATCACAGTGAACCTACAAGGGTATTTTTAGGCAAAATAGAAACCGAGTTGATTCCGTAGCCATAGGATTGAAGAGGACCACAGGAGGGTTGACGAAGATCCTGGCGTTGTGCGACATTTTGGGGTGAAGAAACTTTTGGGTTGTTCCGATCCAATGATTGAGAATGAGGGACACCCTGAGGCTGGTCCTTTGGTTGCTGCTTCCGCCGGGCTGAAGCCGAGAGAACAAAGAGTTCAATTTCAGAGAGAACAACGACACGACGCAGGAAACCAGGTTCACGAAGGAAACCAGGTGACTAAAGGATTTTCTCCAGGTTTTTCAGCCAACTCCCTGACCCCCAAGCGATGGCCACCTCACATACGAGCTCGATGACCTCACTTCCGCAGCCGCTTCCGCCACGTGTGATACAGGTCCGGAGTCGAAACTGCGTCGAGTCTTTGGAAAGAAGCCCAGCGGCTGCCCAAAATCAGAGTGAGGTCTCATTGGACCGGTTTTGATCTGGACAAATGCCATTCAATTTTTGACCAAAGGGACGACACGGAGATTTTGAGTCTGTTGTTTATTGAGGTCTCGCTGTTTACTTGGGAGGAAGATGCAGGTCTTGGTTTCTGTCTACAATGATATGGTTTTTCACCAACCAAGCTTGAGAGTGATAGAAGACCTGTTTGGTGACCAAACTCAGTTTGAAAAGTGGGATTCGATTTATGATGGACTTGCGAGTTGGAGACAGCATGTTCAGATATCCTCTGGTTGGATGAGAAGATTGCGAACCTAACGACAGTGCCAAGGGACATACCAGTCCCCCCATTCTGAAGAGCTTTCCGACTCCCATCGATGCACTCGGACCGAATGGCTCGAGTTCGACGGATCCACCGATCGATCTGCGCCAGGGGGGCAGCCTCCAGTCCACCGTGCCGGCGACTGTCGTGAGACATGCAGCTCCACCGTGCGGCTGTCGATACCCTTTTTTAGGGAGCGAAACGAGCCGTAAAGCGAGTTGGGTGAAGGCATGTAAGGCATTCTTATTGACTGGGTTGAAAGAAACGAGAACACACCTAATGGCAGCGCTGTTTCCAACTGCTGGTAAGGATTTCTTTCTTTCAATGTGGAGTAGCTGCGAATACACCTGGTACACAACCTGCTGACCCCCGCAAGAACTCCGGTCACTTGAGCACTTCCGCACTCTCGACCCGTTCCACAGAAAAGCAACCGCCCTCCCCTTCGTCCCCGGAGGGCAGTCCATCGGCGGAGCCGATGGAGAGCGCAGGTATTCCTATGTGGCGTCACCCCCCAGAGTGGTGAACACGGTGAGCACTGTGAACCCTCTGTCACCTAGCTGTGCTTTCGGATCGGAGGTTCACAGCTGAGAAGTCCATTCATGTGTTGAGCTTCAGATTTGAAGCACCTAAACTAGGGGTTCTCATTGGAGATTGTGGACCGCCATCTCTTCATCTGTCAGCCGCTGTGGAGAAAGCAGCTTTCTCCATCAGGCTGGACATCCGAGTCTTCCACCTTCTGCTTTGAGAAGCAAATACCAAGGTCCTCCCATCCCAGCAACCCCGGTCCGTGTACATGTTCCACACAGCTCTGAGCACCACATGGAGACGTGGATTGGCTCTGGCTTTGTAAGAGCGTGGTCGGACAGGATCCGGTCAAATCCTGAGGATAGGTGACCCAGTTGCCTAATGGGTGAGGCGTCGTCTTTGCAAGCTGTCTGCCCATGCGGGCTGCACACTGCTTGACAAGCACGAAGTTGGAGGTGCGACTCCTCCCTGGGTCGTTTGCTTCCCCAGGCAAATCACCTCACTCCGTGTGGTATTCGTCAGAGTATGAGTTGCGCCACTGCGCTATGCGCCGCTAGCAGCCGAGAAGGCAAGCTTGTGTGGGATCCTTGAACATGCTTCTCACAACCAACTTTTTGTAATTGATTGCCACTGGTGAACCAAATATTGAACGACTCCTCAAAAGAATCTGGAGTTTGGCTGCCATGGTTTTTCGTCCTGAAACTCCCTGCGTATCGATAGGTCCTTCAGCCAATTCCGGTGGCTTCTTGGATCAATTTTTCTGGAGTTTTGGATCCCTTTGACAAACCGATGATGTGGAGTACGAATCATTGAAAGGACTACGCACTTCCTTTAAAAGTAGATCCATGATTACGCACGCGGTAGGGCAAACGGCCCCCTTTTTTTTCGGATGACCGTGGAGGTGGTGATTTTCCACTTCCATGATTATTTCAAGGAGTGTAAGTTTACGGTGATGGTCCATGGTGGCTGAAACCTGAAAAAGTTCACCCAACTCTTTTGTGGAGGGTGACATGAGAGGGTGACATGGTCTTGTTCTTTTTTTTGCTGTGAGCGACCTGTTGAGCCCAGGGTTTCAGCTGCCAGCCACTTGGCGCAGTGTTCCAAGTTGTGCGGGACGTCGTGTCGTGGTCACAGAGGGAGCAGGGGTGGTGCAGGGGTGGTACCCTGTGGGGTTCGTAAACCTCCTTAGACAGATCTGGTGGAACACTTACTACTGTATCTATTGTGTAACGTATTTGTTGGGACCATGTAAACTGAAGCAAACCACATGGTTAAGCGGTTGATGTGAAGAAAACTCCTGGGTGTGACTGGGTGGGTGTGTCTGCCTGTCGGGCCTCACTCACCATCGGCAAGTCTCACTGGGTCCGGTCAAAGGAGGAAAGGTGCAAAGCCTTTGAGAATTTGCCTTAGATACTGGAGGAACATCAGTTTGGATGGTTTTGTACTCTCACGTGCGGTACGAGCCTTGCTCAAAATCAGACAGGTTCAGAAGTGATTCTCCCAGTATTTGGGGGCAAAGGGAAGCATGACCGTGTGAGCAGATGGCCTACAGTGGGCTTAGGGATTCCACATACTGCATAGCCCAGGGCAACGGCGATGCCCTAGATCGCCATTTGTTTGGGATTGGGCCAATTGTTTGAACGCAGAACCATTGACCCTTTTGGAAACCAACATCTTTCGCCCACCGTTGTACGAAACCCACGCTGAGAAGCCCACCCGAGCCCACCCCCCCCCCGGTCGTCCTTGGCGCGGCGCGGTGCTTCTGATGCGCGCCTCGTCGTCACTCCCAGTCGAGGCTTTCACAGCACGGCCAGTAGTTTTCAAGGTCGAGTCGGTGGCCCGGACAGCAGTGACGCCCATCGGAGGTCGTTCTGGCCGCCTTGGGGTTGGCGAGGAGTCGCCCAGGAAGGTCTCTAAGTGACAGGGGGTTGTGAGTCAGGTTTGGTGGGCGAAGCTGATCAAGTGCGGGTTTTGGATCTGAGCATGAGTTTTGGATGCACGACTTTCTTTTGATGTTCATGGCAGTCTAGGTGTTGTGAACTCAGCCGCGCAGTCGGTCGGTGTGGTACTTCTCAAGAAATCTCGACAAATGCGTGGTCGTGACGCATTGATGGACAAAGGAGTGGGTCATCAGGATGGCAGCAGAGACCTGACTCAAAGGTCTAGAGTGGTCGACCAAGAGAGCGCAGAGCAACCTAATGAAATTGCTTTGGGAAGGCTCTGGAGTCAAACCTGTGGCGAATTTGGTTTGCTCATCTGCCTTTTGCTTTTGCCCGATGCTCACACTTCTTCATCAAGTGATAGCTCCTTACTATCACCATATATATATATAAATATCTAGCTGAAGTCGTTTTCTTGTTAAGTTGCTTGGGGACCGTCGTTCGTTGTTTCGGGGGAATTAGCGCAGAAGAAGTGTTTTTGACCCTTGCGGACCTCTGAAGAATTGGTTGTTCAGAACTAAGAGAGGGTATAAAACACGTCTTGTTTTTTTGCGCTGTTAGTGGCAACATACGAGACCCAAAGGACTATTTGATGGGTTTGTTTGTCTCGTGAGTGGTGAGTGAACGGCCATGGTAAAAGCTGTGTAGACGTTGTAAACCTTTGTAAATTTGTTTGTAATTCAAGAACTCTGTCAACTCTTTGCAAAAGTTGCAAACGTTGAACAAATTCTTAAGACTTTGTGAAAGTTTTGTAAACGTTGTATAACTTTGTAAAAAGATACAACTTTGTAAACGTTCTAAAAACTGTGTAAAACGTTGCTCTAACTTTGAAGAATAATTTGAAGAACTCCAAAACTTCGTAAAAGGTTGGTAAACCTTTTTGCAAAGTTTGCGAATTTTACAACGTCTTAAAAAAGTTTTACCAAGTTCTTACAAAGTTTTACAAGTTTCAAGGTTGACAAAGCTTACAAAGTTTGACAAAGTTTAAAAATGTTTTACAAAGTCTACAAAGTGTTGACAAAGTTTACCAAGTTTATACCAAGTTCACTACGTTTTTACAAAGCTTTCAAAGTTGGTACAAAGTTTACAAAGTTTTACACAGATTTTATGAAGTTTGCAAAGTTTTACAACCGCTTACCAAGTTTGCAAAGTTTTA